GTATTTGTTTACCAAACCTCGCAGAGACAATAGGGATATAACGTATGTGAAGCACCGTGGTGAAATCAGGTGTTCGTCAAAAAAATAAAATTGAAGTGTGTCTACGTACGTATAAGGTGACATTCTGCATAAAGCAATGTGCGGATAATCCTCAACAACATTATCCATCTTTAACTGATTTTGACGATCTCTGACGTGCTCTTGCAACACATGAAGAGATCCGCCGTTTGGTTTACATTTTTGGACCTGGGCCGGGAGCGTAGCGATTTTATCTGCGATTTTGGAAAACAACATTCGAATCCTCCTTCCCTGCCCTCGATTTTTCTCTGCACAAGAATATTGCAACAAGAGAGCAGGTCACGACTCCAGGTTGACTGTGCATGTTCTCACTGTGGGTGTTCCGTGGTGATGTTGTAATGTGCAGCAACTTGTGCAGATTTTCTCGAGGATTCTTCTTGTCTAAGTGTCGCGTCGTGTCGTGTGGTGGCTGTCGATAATAGGAGTGAGATAAATGTGTTGTTTAACTCTTCAGATTTACCTGAGGCTGATCTCATTTTGTTACCGTTAAAGTGACCAAATACAGATATTATATATTATTATGTCTTATTTGAGGTAAAAACACTTCAGTAAGTTTAAATGTTTTGTATCAGATAACAACAATTTGAAATACCCTTATTGAACTTTAAGTTTAAGAATAAAGGAGAACGATGAATATCCAAACAGGTACAGTTTGCAGAAGCTATTTGCTACGTTTTCAACAAATAAAAACCGTATGTTAAAGTATTTTTGTTAGTAATAGTACTTTGTAGCCAGCCCGTAGTGCAAGTAAAGCACTATAGCCACATGTCACCTTGGCCTCCACACGCGTCACATTACAAACATTTCGTTTGCCAACACCCGACCAGTAAATTTAGTGTATTGATGGAAATACAAAACCCGCCCAGTGAATCATACGCAGTACTACAGGATGAATCCTCATGGTCCCGTGTCCCCTACTAATAAAACTTGAAGAAAAAAAGATCTTGAAAGTCAGCAATTCGTAAGGTTTCGAAAAAAACATCTTCATTATGTTTTCGTTTAGTTCAAAGAGAAATTCGAGAATTTTGAATAATTAAGCGTGATAAATGGTTGTCTCCGACCAAGCACATATAAGGGGGACAGAGTCGTTTGGTATTGTGCGCCCCCCTCATCCCTGACCCCTCCCCACACCACCCGTCCACTTCACAACGTGCCAAGTTTTCAGCTTTCTTCTCGTTAATCCTTTGGGGACATTTGCTGTGCGTGGAAAAGACTCCGTGCGATTGTCGAGGAGTATTTTGATCTCCGCACACAATAATACTCCGAACACAATACTTGGAGCTTATGTTCTTGTGGCCAGTTTTTCTGTCCTGTATATCTTCTTCTTTCTTTTCTTTTCTTTTGTCACATTTTTTTTCGGAAGACAAGCAGCAGTAACCTCCAGTAATATTCTTCGTCTTTTGTGCGTAGCTTGTTGGGCTTGGATGGCTTCACCGTTGACAAAATCAGCGTGGATGAGAGAGCAAACCTTTGGGCAAACAGCCGTGACATGTCGTCTTTCAGAAATCCTTCCACTCGGTCAGCCAAGCAATGTGCAGTACTACTTATTCAAGTCTAGTACCGGTACCTCGCCGTATTTCTCTTCGGATTTATGGTTAAACTTTCTGTATCCGGCAGCCGCCGCCGGTAAACGCAACCCTTCAAAGTGCTGATTGCGACACGTTTTTGTGTGTCTCTGAAAAGCCCAGAATGGCATTTGATGTTCAAACTGTGATTCACAACAAAATGTTGAAGTTGAGGAACTTTATGTTTTAATACCATCTTGAACGTGTGAATGCTTCTTTGATGTCGTCCAATGGATTATTATTATTTGTATATGTGAGTTGTATTCACTGTTATAAACATAAATATTAAATAAAAAACACAAAAACGAAAAAGAACTAGTAATAGTAGAAGTAAATTGTGACTTCTCTTCTGACATGGGAAATTTAAACTGTGATTGCCGATTTTGATATCCTCATGAGTGGTCGGAATCTGGGCACATTGTTCGCACATAAGACAAAAACTTCAATTTCTGCGTGGGAAATTATTTAATTAATTACGGTAGAAGTTGCCCAAGACAGTCACCCCTTGTGAAAGTTAGAAGTGGTTATTAGCACTGGTGAATGTAGTGGACAGGTGACCGTTAGACCAGGTTCGACTGCATATCAGGCTTTCTGCCGGGGCGTTACTTAGCCTGGCATTGACGTCAGGGTCGAAGCATCCCCCCCCCCCCAAAAAAAAAAAAAAAAAAAAAAC